ATTTGTAGATCAATTTGGGGAATATTGTTACCTTAACAATATTGTCTTCCGATCCATAAATATGGGATGGCTTTTCATTTATTTAGATCTTCTTCAATTTCTTTCAATGTTTCAGTTTTCAGAGAATAAGTTTTGCACTTCTTCTGATAAATTTATTCCTAAGTATTTTACTCTTTTTGATGCTGTTGTAAATGGAATTGTTTTAATTTCATTTTTGGATTGTTCATTGCAGGTGTAAAGAAATACGGTTGAGTGGGGGCCGGCCCAGTGGCACATCAGTTACGTGCGCACGTTCTGCTTCGGCGACCCAGGGTTCGCCGGTTTGGATCCCGGGTGTAGACATGGCACCGCTTGGCAAGCCATGCTGTGGCAGGCGTCCCATATAAAGTAAAGGAAGATGGGCACAGATGTTAGCTCAGGGCCAGTCTTCCTCAGCAAAAAGGAGGATTGGCAGCAGATGTTAGCACAGGGCTAATCTTCCTCAAGAAAAAAAAAAAAAAAATACGGTTGAGGAGCTGGCCCAGTGGCGCAGTGGTTAAGCTTCCATGTTAGACTTTGGTGGCCTGGGGTTCGCCGGTTCAGATCCCGGGTGCGGACATGGCACTGCTTGGCAAGCCATGCTGTGGCAGGCGTCCCATACATAAAGTAGAGGAAGATGGGCATGGATGTTAGCTCAGGGCCAGTCTTCCTCAGCAAAAAGAGGAGGATTGGTGGCAGATGTTGGCTCAGGGCTAATCTTCCTCAAAAAAAACAAAAGAAATACAGTTGATTTCTGTATATTGATCTTGTATCCTCCTTGCTGCCTTTAGAAGGTCACTCAGCTGAAGCACGACAAAAGGCTGGAGGTGGGGCAAGACTGGAGGCCAGGCCACCAGCTGGGAGGTGGCTAATGCTGTAGCCCAGGTCACGGTGAGGGAAGCCTGGGCAGTGGCAGGAGGGAGGGAGAGGCGGGTGGACGTGAACCCCCGGATTGGGCTGGGGTGGGAGAAAGAGAGGTGTCAAGGACGAGGCCCAGGTTTGGGCCTGGATCACATTTACTGGGTGTGGTAATTTCCTTTTGAAAGTGTGGCTTTGAAGTGCCTTTACAACAGCCCAGGAGGCAGCTCAACTTGTCATCAGCGACTCAGAACAGCTCTGGGCTGGAAATAAAATCCTGGGTGTCGGAGAGCAGGAGAATGGAGGAAACTGCCCGGGCAAGAGCTGGGGCAGCGGCCGAGGAGCCCAACACTGAGGGGCAGACGCAGGAAGCCGGCTGTGGCCGAGCGGCTGGAGAAAGAAAACCACGGAAGCACCGTCGCTGGTGCAGGATGCGCGGAGGGTGGTGGTGGGCGCAACGCTGGGAGCCCGGGGTGAGTCTCCGGAGGGCGAGCGTCACTGTGAAGTCGCAGGAGATGAGGTCCATGCCCCAAGGGGTTGCAGGTGAGGCCAGAGGAATGACACTGCAGTGAGTTGGGGGTACGGGAGGGTCAAGTCGCAGACCTGAGAGGTTTGGCCCATAAGGGGGGGGTGCTGCTTAGCCTAGGGAGAATTCTTTTGTTCTGTGGCTTTGTTTTTCATGAGACAAACTGGAACAAGCCTTACAGCTGACGGGAAGGACCGAGTTACAGTGGAAAGGGAGGGGGAGGCGGTGGAGCAATGCTGGGGCGGCGGCTCCTCTTCCCCACGGTGCACCCCACGTTGCTCTCCCACCACGTGGTGAGCCAGACTTACCACCCATTTCCTACTGTGGCCCTGCACAGGCGGGTGCGCTCAGAGCGGTGTTCAGCCCCCATGAGGCGCGCTGGCTGGAGCTGGGCTCCGAAAGGAGACGCACTGGCCAAGTGCGCACACGAGAAGGGCTGGCGAGGCGCCCCGAGCTCGGCTCCCGTGGACGGTCCTAAGGAGCGGACTCCTCATTGCTAGGAAGGGAAGAGTCCCCGTGAGTGGATTCCTCACTGCTAGGAAGGGCAGCGCCCCCCCGTGAGTGGATTCCTTATTGCTAGGAAGGGCAGCGTCCCCCCGTGAGTGGATTCCTCACTGCTAGGAAGGGCAGTGTACCCCCGTGAGTGGATTCCTCACTGCTAGGAAGGGCAGTGTCCCCGTGAGCGGATTCCTCACTGCTAGGAAGGGCAGTGTCCCCATGAGCGGATTCCTCATTGCTAGGAAGGGCAGCGTCCCCCCGCCGAGTGGATTCCTCATTGCTAGGAAGGGCAGTGTCCCCGTGAGCAGATTCCTCACTGCTAGGAAGGGCAGCGTCCCCCCGTGAGTGGATTCCTCACTGCTAGGAAGGGCAGTGTCCCCGTGAGCGGATTCCTCATTGCTAGGAAGGGCAGCGTCCCCCCGTGAGTGGATTCCTCACTGCTAGGAAGGGCAGTGTCCCCGTGAGCAGATTCCTCACTGCTAGGAAGGGCAGTGTCCCCGTGAGCGGATTCCTCATTGCTAGGAAGGGCAGCGTCCCCCCGTGAGTGGATTCCTCACTGCTAGGAAGGGCAGTGTCCCCGTGAGCAGATTCCTCACTGCTAGGAAGGGCAGCGTCCCCCCGTGAGTGGATTCCTCACTGCTAGGAAGGGCAGTGTACCCCCGTGAGCGGATTCCTCACTGCTAGGAAGGGCAGTGTCCCCGTGAGTGGATTCCTCACTGCTAGGAAGGGCAGCGTCCCCCCGTGAGTGGATTCCTCACTGCTAGGAAGGGCAGTGTACCCCCGTGAGCGGATTCCTCACTGCTAGGAAGGGCAGTGTCCCCATGAGCGGATCCCTCATTGCTAGGAAGGGCAGCGTCCCCCCGCAAAGTGGGAAGGAGCCAGTAAGGCACAGCAACCCCCTAAAATCCAGTCCCCGAACTGCTTCTCTCCGTGTGGGGGACGGGCCAGTGCCAAGGAGACACCCCCGGGCCCGCGGCTGAACAGGAAGCACCGGGCGCTGGTGGGTGCTGCTGGGCGCAGCGCAGGGCTGCAGGTAGAAGTGAGCTTTCCTCACCCCGTGCCCAGCCTCACTGTTCCTCAGCCCGAGGGCCAGTGCAGCGATCCATCTGCCGACCCTGCGGATTCCTGGCGCTGGGTAGGGCACCCACAGGCAGCTGCAACAGTGAAGGAGCCCCCGCGGGCGCTGGGAGCACTGCGAGGGTGCTGGGGTGGCTGTCGGCAGCTCTCAGAGGGCACATGTGGGTCAGAGGCTGGGCCCGACTCTGCCTGCTCTCTCCCTTAGCACAGGGAGCCCCGAAGGTGAGGGGGCCGTGGCGGGACTCGGGGGCACAGGCCTTCCTGACGAGCCCACGTCCTGAGGTGCCAGGCTCCGCGGCCTCTGAAGCCCGGGTGTCGTCGGCCCGGACGGCTGCATTTCTAACGGGGAAAGTTCGGCCTGGCTGTGGAGGAGGAGGAAGCCAGCGCCGCCGACGGGAGCAGTCCAGCCAGCACCGCCCCCGAGCCCCTGCCTGCACTCCTTCACCACGACCACCACAACTCCACGGCAGGCCTGGAGCCAGGGCGGCGTCTGGCTGCTGCCTGCCGTCCAGCAGGGCTCTGCGAGGGGGTGCTCGGACGTGTGCTGGCTGAATGACTGCGGGGCAGTTAACTGGGTTACATCAGTGGTTCTCAAAGTGCGACCCGGGACCAGCCGAGGCGGCATCACCGGGGAGCTTGTTAGCAATGGAGCTTCTCAGGCCCCCGGGGGACCTACTGAATCAGAAACTCTGGGCCCTCCCAGGGGACTCTGATGCTTGCTCAAGCTTGAGAGCCACTGGATTAGCTGGTCCCCAAGGTCCCCTTCCTGAGTTGCCTCAGCATCTCTTATCCTTGAGCATCTTGCCTGACTCCTGGGCTCCCCACCCTGGGAATGCCCCACCCCTACTCCTCAGGCTTCACTCCACAGATACCCTTGGGAACTCAAGGCCTCTGGAGAGCCAGGGACAAGAGTAGGGGGAGGCACGGCCACTAACTGGGAAACCTAGGCCAAAAATCATGGATCCTGAGGCCCGTTCACCCTGAGCTTGCATGATACGGTGAACTGTTACCATAAAAGTAACCGCAGTAACAACGGAGCGCTGGCTGTGCGGGGCACTGGGCCAGGCCCGACTGAACCTCATCACCCCAGCAGGGTCGGAGCCAGGAGACGTGAGTGCTCGTCTCAGCACTGACACTCACAAGCTGGGTGACCTGGGGTCGGGGCACAGCCTTCTCCAGGCCCCACTGTCTGCAACTTTACAGCCAGGGCTTTGGACGGATAAACCACAAACACAATGTGTTGTGTGGACAGAGCCAGACAAAAGGGGACACACCAGGTGATTCCGTCCAGGTGCAGCTCTAGAACAGGCACACACACGGCGCGGAAATCAGAGCAGCGCTGGTGGTAGTTTTAGAAAGGGAGTGGTTCTGACTGAGATGGGGCACGAGGGAGCTTCACAGAATGATGGGAACGTTCCATCTTGATATGGTAAGGCTACAGAACTGTAAATACAAACTCCTCCAATGGTACAGTTAAAAAGGGTAAATTCTACTGTATGTATACCGCAATTTAAAACATCCCTCATAAAATGAGGGCTTCGGGGTTGGATGACTTCTAAAAGTGCTTTGAGTCCCAAGTCCTGGAGATCTGACTCTGACACGGGGTAACTCGCCGGGCTATTGGACAGCCAGCGTCTGGGGGGGTGAGCTGCAGCTGTCAGTGTGGGCTTTGCCCCAAGTCTCCACTGTCACCTCCCCTCACATGGTGGCAGTGCCCAGGTCCTGATTCAGAAGGCACCCCCTCTGCCCCTAATGGAGGCACAACATTAGTAAACTACAATTGATTTTCGGTCTGTTCCAAAATCCAGCCTCTGGAGGGGAAGGCACGTTTGTGTGTCAATCGCAGCTGCCCCAGATATGCTAAGATGCGTGCAACTTCTCTAGCCGGTGTCACCACTGTCAGTGCGAGCAGGTGGGAGGCAGGTAACTAATTTAATGAACAAAAACCACAAAGAAAGAAATTATGAGAGGGAGTGGAGGAGAGACGCAGCCAGGAGTCAGCGACGCCCTGGGATTACAAACATACATTCCGTCACAGAATCTTTATTTTACATGTTTGCATCACAGCAAGAGAATCCATCCCATACATCACCCTGATCAGAACCCCGCCCGCTAGAGGTTTACATAAATACTCTTCTATGATCATTAGTGTTCAAAAAAATACTGAAAGCTCCTTCTGCATCCCAATATAACCTGGAAAGCAAGTGATATTTACAGACATTTTCTCCCCCAAACGAAACTTATTTCTGGTTTAGACGTGTCCGACTTCTGAGGTCATAGGACTAGTGAATCCAATTTATGATCTGCAAAAGCTGCTTCAGATGTCAAGAAACGCACTGTGTGGACAAGATCTTTGGATCTTTTTGTACTAAGTATCTGAAATGCTAAGACGGTTGCCCCTCTGGAGCCCCTGTAACCGCCCACCATAAAAACCCGAAGCTCGCCTCAAAATGAGCTCACTGCGAGTGAGTTCGCTTTCCTGTCTCCCTTTGACCTGCACTGACTTTACCCACGACTCCTCCTTCCCGGGTGGCCTGCCTGCAGACTTCCTGCCACCAGAAATCCTGCAGCTCCCTGGGGCAACACAACCAAATCCTTGCCCTGGCCCCTCCGTGCTCTCCCTCAGTGTGCTTTCCTCACACAGCATCTCAGAGGATACGCATGTCCCACGCCCTAACAGGAAACCAGAGAGAAACAGTCTCTATTTTTCAAGCGTAAACCATGCAGAAAGGGCACAGATGCATCACCAGGCTACTAAAGAGGCCCCTGGGGAATGTGGAGTGTTCAACTTGCTGATCAATAACTACATTCCAGGTGGTGACAAGTATTAGCCTCAACTCAGGCGGATCTCTTTTAAGGACTTCATGCCAAAAACACCCTAGAGAAAACTGGAATAAAGAGCAGATCTTTTAGAACATGTATATTCCAGACAAACACCTTTTTGATCAACCAAGAGAGATCAAGTCAAAGTCTAACGTCTTTAGTGGGGAAGCCATGAATTTACTGAATCCTACAGGGAAAAACAGCACGGGCATCCTGGACTCAGCCAATTCCGAATCTGTTAAAAGGCCTGGGGTGGGTCAGAGCAAAGCAAAGGGACAAGGTGTGGAGTGTGGAAAAGGTGGAGGAGTGGGCTGGGGTCTGCTGCCTCTGAAACTCAGCAGCTGGCAGCATAGAGCATGAACGGTTCTGCCGTTCTCCCTAGGGGATGGAGGAGCGCCAACAACCTCGTCAGACTGTCCAGCGTTCTAAGGGCCTTCCTCAAAGAGAGTGCTTCAGGACGGGGGAGACGGCCAGAACGCCACTGGCAGTTAAGATAGGCGTCTCACACTCTTCCCTGGTCTGGAAGGACCAGCTCCTGGTGGCAGGCGCTTAGGTACTAACACAAGACACACATTCTAGTGCAGGGCAAGAACATTACACATGGCCCAAAGCAATAATCTACGGTATTACGACGGACTTTCTTGAAGAAATTCTCCTCAGCTCAGAAAACACATCCTTCCCAGAGCTGCTGGGAGAAAACGCTGCAATGCACCAAAGCTCGCGGCCCAGCCCGAGCCTGTGGGGAATCGATAGGTGGGGGCGGGGGGGGCAGGGCGCCAGGGTGTGGAACCAGAGAGCAGACATTCTGATGAGATCATAACGCAGGAGAGGAAACGTCGCCCTGACGGTCACGAGTGGACTTCTGATGAGACTGAGTGCTGCCTGAGCTGGCTGGACGTGTCCAGGGAAAATAAAACCTGGAAATTTTACTCTAAAGCGGTTTCTTGAAGGAAAACTGCACTGACTCAGGTTATGATCTGAGAAGCTACCTCTTACACTAGAGCAGGCTTCTCCTTACGGGAGAATGGGCCACCAACTCAACAGGCACATTCAGCGTATAAAACGCACTGCTGTTGAAATTTTAAAGCACTGAGGGACCAAGAAACAGGCTGACCAAGTCTTTGGACACTGTTAAGAGTCAGGATTAAGAGATCAATGATTGTTCTTATTGTCCAAGAAGTAATTTTCTAGCAAAATAGACACACTTCATTAAAGGAAAACAGGTCCTTACTTCCTAAGGTTTCCCAGCCAGCAGCACTTCCAGTCCACGGCAGATTTCAGAAAGGAAGCTTGGATATCTTGTGTAGGCAGAAACGGAGCAGGAGCACAAAGCGAAGCTATAAATACCACTGCGCGCTCCAGGATGTGCACCCAATCCTTTCTGCCCAATCCCTGAAATCCTGACGGCTTAACCGTGGGAACACGGCCGCACAGGGATCCCGGGCGCCTGTGAGACTCAGGCTGCAAGAAGGGGGCTTGTCAGCAGCTCAAACTATTTGGCTTTGGACCCCAATCAGTCATCTCTACTCAAGAGCAGAGCTGAAGGCTGGCCACAGCTATTAAGCGACGGAAAAGGAGAGGAGATTTTTACAGAACAGGCTGCAGAGTGTGAACAATTTTGTCAAAACCTGAACCACCACCTGTTTCCCAATCTCTGGCTGGGGTTTTGATTTTTCTTGACCATCAGCTTGATTCCAAACCTTCTGCCAGTTAAGATATAGAATATAGGCAGACAACCTGCTTGTTAGGAAGGCTGTGGCCAGCCTTGATTCCTAAACCGCTATCTTATCTCATCTGTACCTTCCTGTCCCAGAAGGGGACCATCACACTGCAGCCACTCAGCTGTTCTGTGAGTGAGCCTAGAGGTAACCACGGATGGAAAGCTCGCCCCACCCCCAGAGCAGCTCAGCGCCCTGGCTCATGCCCTCGCGTGACTGCAGAGGCTCAGGGGTCTGCCGGAGAAAGGGCAGGAGCCAGGCCGGCGCCGGGAGCAGCAGTCAGGCCGGAGCCCGGTGCTGGCCCCCACATGTTCTTGTCCTCTCTCGCTCCTTCACTCACTTGCTTCCTTGCGTCTAGCACGTGAAATGAGGACACCTCTGTGGGGATCCTTTCTAGGGGGGGAGGTTTCGTCACACCTTTTGTTCTTGCCAAGAAGTCTACGGCCTGGTCAAGACCAGCTGCTTGCAGGACAAACAGCAAACGTGTCCCTCTGAGGGAAGCACCCAAGGGAGTCTGGGCCACAGCACGAACACGCTTCTGAAGCACTGCTACTGTGTTCACGCACAGGAAAACTAAGTCTCACACATATTCCCATCCTCCCTGCAACTTCCTTCTCCTGTCACACAGCTCCAAGTTAACTTAAAAGAAAGAAAAAAGCCCCCTAAATTAATACTTCAGGCATATTTCCCTGCTCCTGAAGCCGGGGAGACACGTGAACCATTCCCTGAAGCCTCTGTGGGCAGGCGAGCAGCAATGGCCTTGAAGATGCCTCCTCTTGCTGCAGGCCTAGCAAGGACTGCGGCTGTGAAGGACAGGCTGGCAGAGCACAGGGAAAGAACGCTCGCTTCCTCACAGCTCAGTTAGGAGGTGAAAACGGCCCAGGAGAGGGAAAACGTCTCTTCTAAGTAGAGACTCTCCAGGTCCCCGAGTGTGGGATATTGAGCGCCACCCCTGAATCCTGTGGTCTCTGACTGACCCTCCCAAGCTGGAGGTAAGAAAACCACCACCAGAGACTGTCCCTGTCCCCTGCAGGGCCAGCTCACTGCCAAGCCCAGGCAGGGGAGGGCTCCGGTTTCTGACACCGGGAATCGGAAGGGCCCCAAATCCAGCCGGCACCCCAGCATTAGGCAGCTTTTCTGATGCGGCCATGTTTCAGTCCAGTTTTGGGCCCAGGTGACTAAAAAGCATAGTGGGAAGTTACCACCAAGCCCTTGTTGGCCCTCGGTCACAGAGGACCTTCTGAGACTGTCCCATTATCCTAATGACTTAGTCACGAGTTGCAACACTGTTCACTTCGGGCCGCTCCCGTGCTCATCTCCGAGCTCTCACAGCCTGGAGGGAAGCTCACTGAGCTCCCGTGAAAGACGCCGCCCCTGGTCCTGGGGAGTGAAAGGCCGTGCACTCACACTCCGTTTCCCGCATCCACACTCCTGGAACACAGGGACAGGTCTGCTTCACTCCTCCGTTTAGAAATCCTACCTGGCTTATAGGAAAAGCTTTTTAATGGTGATAATTTGCTTGTACTTAAGCATTTGCTTTACATTACCCTTTCTGCCCCGAGCTGCTCCTTTAAGGAAAATTCCTTCCCTTTTCCCCCCATATCTGATCACACAAAACAGACACAGCTGCGGGGAGAGGGGGACACGAGAGATGCTGCTGCTCTGGGTGGTCCGGGGGCCAGACGTTCAGGGAAATCCTGGAGGGGAATGCTTTTTGAGCTTAAAAACACATTTCCGTCCATCCATTCGGCAACAGAGAACACGCTTCAATCAAGAAAAGCACTTCCCACCAGCTGGGCTGTGTGGTGTCCCAGGGCCACGACTGCCTGACATTATAGCCCTCAGATGACAGAGACCTTCTGGAAGAGACCACGTGCCTCCAGAGCTGCTGGTTCCTGGTCATTTTCAGAATGTGGGGTAGAGGCCTGGGGCACGTTTCAGGGCCAGGAGTCCTGGGCAGGCTCTAGATGCTAAATTGGGGTTTCACTTTGCTTTCTAAAATAAGCGAACTTCCTTCATTTTTGTCCCCAAGGGTGCAGTGCTGCTCTCCAGTTCCCATCTTAGTCCCCAGATCCTCACTCCACACTCGCTCATTTCCTGGAGCCCCGTTCCTGGGCCGTGAGCGGCTTCAGACACACCCCTCCGCCCTCCTCCCAGGTCCCCCAACGTTCCTTTCAGTGCTGCCGCACACTTGGGTCACAACTGAAGAGCCCTTAAGAGTTCCCGGTTAAAAGAAAAAAGAAATATATGTTAAAAAGACAGTCTTCCTTTTATCTTCCTCCTCTCCACTCTCCCTCCCCACCACGCCCACCTGAAGGAGGATTCTAGCTGCCTATAACCAGCCACAGATCCAGCTTCCATAAAAGAGAGTAAAAAATTAGGCTTCCGTGGCACTTTGCTCCCAGCCACGTGCTCTGTGGTGTCACTGTCGGCAGGTGCCAGATGCTCTTGCTCACCAATAGGACTATGAATAAATCAGACGTTTCCTTTGACAGTGCCAGCTCAGAGCTGCTCCATCACGCGGTGCCTTCCCAGTCGCCCTGGGGCTCCACCAAGCCGTTGGTCACCTTCTTGACTTTCTTCATATTCTCCATCACCCCTGACGTCGTCACTCTGAACGAGGAGGAAAACAATGAGGAAAATCTCAGTCTTACAGTAAAAGGCCATCCGCACGACCGCACAGGGGTTGGCTCTGGAATCAGACAGACCTGGGTTTGAATTCAGACCTGCTCCTTGATAGCTGCAACCTTGGCCAAGTCATTTGGCCTCTCTGTGCTTAAGTCTAATAAATAATTCCCACTTCCCAGAACTGTCGTGAGGGAAAAACGAGATTCACCAGTGCACCAAATCAATACATATCAGCAGCACTTATCACAATCAACAGGAATCTCTCTCTTTTTGTCACGGCCTCCACCAATTTTTATTTATTTAATGCTAGTTATGATTATGAGACCAATATCTATATCATAAGTAACATTTATAAAAGAAAGCTCATCAGCTGTAGACATTTATCTTTTTTTTTTTTATTTTTGGAAGATTAGCCCTGAGCTAACTGCTGCCAATCCTCCTCTTTTTGCTGAGGAAGACTGGCCCTGAGCTCACATCCGTGCCCATCTTCCTCTCCTTTATATGTGGGACACCTGCCACAGCATGGCCTGCCAAGTGGTGCCACGTCCGCATCAGGGATGCGAACCAGCCAACCCCGGGCCGCCAAAGCGGAACGTGCGCTCTTACCCGCTGCGCCAGCGGGGCCCCGGCTGTGGACTCTCTACAAGGAGCCACGATGGCTCATTTCTGAGCCGTGGGGCAGAGCCGCAGGTCTGGAGGAGCCTCCTGGGCCCAAATGTTCTCCCACAGAGAGGGAGAACTGGCCGCTTTCTGCAAATCCAAGCCCTGCTCTCTGTGGGCTGGGGCCACGCAGCTGTCAGCGATCGTGTGGCTCTGCCTCCGCTCTGCAGCCCAGACCAGGGGCCTGCATCTCTGTTGGTGCCTGGCACTGAGGAGGTGCCACGGAGCCCTTCACTGAATGCAGGGATTCAAACGGGAGAAGGCTGGCCTCAGCCTGAGGAGCTGAGCATGGGGGCCCTTTCCGCGGAGTGAAGCCTAACACCTCGAGCGGTGGGTCTACGAGAAGACAGCCTCTCGCCTCTCAAGACGTGAGCTGGGCAGATGCTATGGAGCTCCGGATTTATGCAGGAACTGGGTGGCTTTGCAGCAGGAGACACCAAGCAGAGGCACTGAGCTCCACCTGGCAGGTGGGACACAGAGGGTCTTCAGGGCTCTGTGATTCTATAATGGTGGATATGTGTCATTTCACATTTGTCCAAACCCACAGAATGCGCACCACCAAGAGTGGACCCTACGTAACCTAGGGACGCTGGGCGACAATGACGCGTCACTGTAGCTCCCTCAGTTCTAACCAACGTACCCCTCTGACGGGGATGTTGACAGCGGGGGAGGCTGCGCATGTTTGGGGCGGGGGGTATATGGGAAATCTCCGTACCCTCTCTTCAACTTTGCTGTGAACCTAAAACTGCTCCAAAAAATAGAGTCTATTAAAAACACACGCACACACACTTGGCCCAGCAACTCCCTGAGTCCTCTAGGAAACAACGAGGCATCTGTGTTTCCCGGCGTGGACCAACAGCAATTTCCTAATCGGTAAAATAAACTCAATCGGTCAACTCAACAGATTCTCTCCAAGGACTCCCATACCAACGATCAAAGCCCGTCACCTACAGGCAGTAACTCAGCGGCCCTGTATGTGACACCTTTAGAGTTTGTCCAGCGGGACGTAATGGTAGATAAATGATTTTGTATGGGGTAAGGAAAGAAAATTCTTCCTCCCCTTTTTCCTTCCTTCATTCCTGACACCACGTTGCTGCGGTGACCAAGCCTCAAAGCCATCCAGTCCTGCCCAGAACTGGGACTTCTCTCAAACAAGAGTCCTTCAGACTCGTGGGTTACCTGTACTTCTGGCAAGGTTGGGACAAGGTATAATGCTGGCACGTGGTTCTTGCAGGAAGTGAGAGACCTCCGCAGATGCTGTTAGTGATCTAAATGTCGCACCCACACAAAGGAAAGCAGCCAGCACCACTTCCTGTCAGCTGGTCACACTCAGGCCTGGCCTAACTAGGAGGAGACCATGGTTTTCCCAGGAGGAATCCACGCAAACAGGGCTGCTTCTAAAGGGACCTTCTCCAGACTGGGACACGGGAGGTGGTGCGGCTGAAGCACCAAGAGAACCATAAGCTTTTGTAGCTCTGGCACAACAACCCCCTATCCTCCTCCAAACATGCTGAGATCAGAGAAGAAATGCAACCTCAAGTCTGCCAGCAACACTCCCCGCAACAGCCAACTCTTCTGTGGCTGCTGCACCTTGTTACAAAGGGACAAGGAGCTCCACACGTGCGATGCTGAGAGCAGCACCCTCGCTATGACCGGAGTGTGGCTTGGACAGCGGGATGGGACGACACCTACTACCCTACTTTCCCTAAGAAAATATTCCTTTCCAGATGGGGGACCAAGGGAGAAAACAATGCCTGCTCTTTCGTGCAGGGGCAGGGACAGAGAGGGAAAGCACTGGGTTGGTGCTCTTAGGTACCCGCAGCCAGCAGAAGAGACAGTCTTGCAGACCAACACGCAAAGCCCTTCAGACAGACAGAAGTGCTGGGAGCAGGTCAGATGGCGGCTCGGGGAGAAGAACCCCCTCTGCTGGGGGAGAACCCCCCCTCTGCTGGGGGAACTGGGGGAAGCTGTGAAAGCTGTGTGGAAAGACAAAGAGCAGCAAGATGGAGGGTGGGAGAGCACAGGGCTGTCTCTGAAAAGAATATACCGGGCAAAAAGCAAGGAAGAAACAAAAGAAAGTTCCTGGGCACAGTCAGGGAGTGCGGAGAAAAGTGGCAGGAGGGTCAGGGGCAGGCAGGCGGGGCGTGGGGGCCTTATCTGCCCTGTCACCAGTGGCTGAACTTGGGTCTTACGCCAGGGTCCTCGGCCCTGGCTCCAGCAGGATGCCCCAGGGAGTTATGCCTGAGCCCATACATTCAGAATCGAGTCTCCAGGGGAGGGGCCAGGGAACCTACTTCTGAAATACTCTCCAAGTGAATCTGGTAGCCAAGGAGAACGGCCAGGAGGGAAAATCAGAGGTGAAGACGCCAGCCAGGTGAGGGCGGGGCACCAGGATGAAGCAGGGAGAGGAATGGGAGATACGATGTTGGCCTCCAAGACATGGTCACTCACTCCACTTGGGCTGAGGGAGAGGAGGTGTTTAGGCCAACGCCCGTGTTCGGCTGGTGGTGACTGGGAAGATGGCGGTGCTAACAAGGCCCGTCTAGAATGCCGGGGAGAGGCGAGCTTGGGAGGACGGTGAGCCGGTGGAGAGAGGGCCCCGAAGCTCGGGTGAGCCAAGTGGGCTGGAGCGAGAGACTGGGGAGGAGTCGCTGAGTAGACGGCTGGGCAGCCTGGGCTTGGGTGAGCACTCCAGACGAGGAGCGGGAGAATGGCAGCCTCCAAGGCTTTGGAGCAGGGGAGCATGCCAGCACGCGAGGTGTCACCAGTGAAGCAGGCAAGGAGGTGGTTTCGTAAGTGACCTGGAGCAGGAGCTGCTGAAGTGAACTGAAACCGATCAGGACGCCTGGCAGCAGGGATGCTGGGTGGCCCAGCAAACCTTTGGGAAGTGAAAGAGATGCCGGGGCCCAGGTGGAGCAGGTAGGCCCGGCCAGCCCCCTGCAGACTGGCACTGCTCCTCACAGCGCAGACCCTTCAGCAGTGACAAAGGAGACCTGGCTTAGACTGACACCCTAATGCCTTCCAGGCAGGGACAGAAGGAGGTGGGGCTTCTGCAACTCCGCGCGCACCTTCCTGCGTACCTCCCTGCGTGCCCTAGTTTCGGTGCAAACGCTGAAGGGGAGGCCAGCTGCAGAGCCACCATCCAAGCAGCACTGTGCACCACAGACAACCGTCCTCAAAGGCCCACCGCACGCAGCACGCAGAGCACTCGCCGAGCTCAGGCTAAGCAATGGGCAGTGGGGATTTTCAGTCTAACTCAACTCCGGAGATCTGGGCAGAGCCTCCTGGAGCTGCCTGGATCACAGCCCTCACCACTCACTTCACAGAACCGGAAAGTGACATCCGGAGAGGATGACCTTGTGTCCTCTGCTCATTCCTTCTCTGCCTGACTAGCTCCTACTTGCCCCAGGCTGGTGCGATGCCCTCTGTGGCTCCAGGCACACAGCTCCATGGCAGCACTGGCTGCACTCTGTCACACTGTGCCCGCAGCAGACAGTGCGCTCCCTGAGGGCAGGGCTTTTGCACTGGCTGGTGCTCCACAACTGCCCAGAGGGCTGAGGGAGCCAGGCACAGCGAGGCACAGCAGCCTCAGTGCACGGGGCCTGCCTGGCCTCTCTGGCTGCCCGGCCCAATGCCAGTCCAGGAGAAGCCGTCCTCCCTCCAGTGCCTGTCCAGGGAAGCACTGCTCTGAGCCCAGGTGCCCAATTCCTGACTTCGCGAGGGTGCCAGCCTCAAGGGGAGCAGCTCATGAGCGGGTCTGAGATGAGGGAGACCAGTTCAGGAGGGTCTGTGGACAGAGAGGAGAGTGGAGCAGATGCCCGAGAGGAGGAGCAGGGAGCTCCAGCAGAGATGGAGAGAGCACATGGACCCAGGGCTGCCTCCCACTTTCCTTCCACATCTAAATGGTGACCCCTCTTTTCCTTGCAGAACCCCGAGTCTACGCTTACAACCAAAAAGGCCTAAGGAACAAGACGGGAAAGGGGGCTGTAGGTACCCACTGCTCCTTCTGCCACACCAGACTGCGATCACATGTGGCTTGGGCCTAAGTGGTCCATGGACACATCTGTTTCTGGAACCACACTAAACCACAGACATAACCAAACTAAAAACGCGTCCTGGACTTGCAGCGCACGAGGCCTGGTTAAGAGGCAATTCTATTTGTCTCCAAGCCCTGTTTCCACTTTTGCTGCTCACTCCCCGAGCTAACGCAGGACATAGCAGTCAAAGGTTAAGGCAACCTCGAGGCCGGCGTTCTGGAATGGGATCCCCAGAGAGACAACCGCCCGGCCCCAAAACCCACACCAAACGTTTCTTCCCACTCTCACTTCTTGAGATGACGGAAATGATTCAGACCATCGAGGACACGCACAGCTTACTGGAGGCTACCGAGTCTGCTTGCTGAAACTGCATCCAGTACTTCTTAACTGGCTGAAATTTTTACGATAAATTCTGTTACCAAAATTGGTAAGCCTCTGTGAGCTTTAGCCCAAGAAAAATGTTGAAAGAGATAGAAGGAGAAAAAGACAGAAAGTCAGAGTTAATTCTGACTGTGTCCTCATTCTGCAGACTCAGATGGAGCAGCTGTGTGGGACCTGGCGGGGACGGCAGCCCGCACGGACTGTACGGGCCTGGGCCAGAGGAAGGGTGGAAGCACTCCATCCCCGGGGGAGCACAGCTCCGTCCTGAGATCCACCGGCAGATTAGCTTCCCAAACGCACTGCACTCCCACAGCTCAGCTTCAGAGAAGGGGCGAGAACAGGTGAAGGAAACTATCTAGAACAAGTCAGTAAGGGCAGTGAGTGACCGGGTCAGAGTTCACGTGCTGCCAGTGGGTGAGACTCATGAGGAAGAGTGTGGATTTGTTGTGGGGTGTGTGGGGCAGAACAAATATTGCTCCCCACAAGGAGGGGGTTCGTTCTGTGGCGGGAATCAGACCTAGCTCCCTCCTTCAGGAAACACCCTTCAGTGTGGATGACAGACAGCTCATGACCTTCTAGAAAACACAGCCAAGGGCTTGGCTCGCCTCTGGCTTGGATTATTTCTGGAGGACTGACGAGGTGCCGTCCAGGAACAGCACCCCCAAGAAGAAGAGGGAGATGACAGCCGGGGCACAGCGCGGTGGCCCTGAGAAGCCGCAACCAGCCTCTGCACTCCCTGCCTCGGGCCTGTGCTGCTGTCACATCTTCTAGATTCACAGAACTTTCTCAACAGCAGAGGTCTTAGCCAAAGAGAAACCCCAGAACGATTTCCTTGCCTTTGTAAAGGCACTTGGCCTCAATCGGCTCCTCAGCTTTTTCACAGGCCAAACTGGGCCAGCGCTTGCTGGAAACACCACTGCCCTAAAGAAAACCTTCATCGGGCGTGAAATTCTTTCCGGCTGTTACACATGTGGCCTTTCTGCCACTGATGAGAAGCTCACTTCACTATGACAGTACGGCTCTCACTAAGCACTGAGAAGCCAGTACAACCAGAGTACCCCCCTGCCCTTGTAACAGTGTAAACTGAGGCAGGCAAAGGATAATCCCTGACTTAACGTTCCGCCGCTCCCAAATCGTGCCAGAATAAGGAACACGCTCTCTCCAGTCTCCACTAGACTGGTGGTGTGTCTGCTCCCTCCCCGTTCCCTCCAGATTTTAGCACCTATAGACCCTCTTGCTCAAATATTATCGGAGAGAAACAAAACCAACACAAAATTTAAAAAAGTTTTGCCAGGAGACAAAAATACCTTCACAATGCATCCACGCTTCCAGATGAAACAGCTGTCGGCAAGAACGTGGGGAGAGAACTCCTAAGTTGCTGGTGAGGAGCGCAGCTATGTGGCCATTCTGGAGCACAATTCAGTGAAGTGGAAGGTGCTCTGCCCCAGCCGGTCAGCTTCTAGCTGCCCAGCCCAGAGAAAGCTGGCCGCGTGCTTATGGAACAAGCTACAGGTCTCCCAGCAGGGGACGGCTAACCACACCACGCCTTAGGTTACTGACCACCGTGCCCACCAGGCTGACTCTCACTTGCACCTCTTCAACCAACAGCACTTGCTCAGCTTCTGCTGCTTCTAAAAAGGCACATCTGACGGTTCTCCTGCTTTGCCCTCCACTGTCTGTAAAAAGGTGTCTCTTCCTCTGCACAGGGAGATGCTGTTCGGGACCCATGGGTAGGCTCTGCCTTCCCTTTATTGTTCTCACAGTGGAGCTGAGCACAAAGAGCTGTCCCACGCTGCCCAGCCTGCTGCCCAGCCTGCAGCCCAGCAGAGCCCAGCAGGGGCCAAGGCTCAGCCTTTGAATTGGGAAAAGTCAAAAGGCTGCGGAGAACCAGAAGAGAAACCCAGCCTCAAGCTAATCAGCACAACAATTAACCTGGCCCATCGCAGCAGATAAGTTAACAAGCAAATTCGCTTACTTAATCACCATTCACTTCTCTAGAAAATGACTGCCCTTTCCCAGAAAATAGGACCCTAGAATCACTTAGCCTGTGACTCAGAAAAGCCCATTTTAACGCTCAGATATAGGTCAAAGTCATTGTGCTAGGTTTAGCTGATGATAAAGGACGTTTGAGGATAGTCAGCAGACTTACAAATGACCCCAGTGATCGCATTTTCAGCTCCCCACGGCAGGAGCCCAACAGGAAGTGGGGCTGCCCATCCTCAGGAGCTCTGAACAACCAAGTATGTCCCTAAGTTCTTGCTGGTGAGTTACTGGAAGCAGGCTCCAATGAGGCTAAATAGGATGGCAAGTTCAACTCTCCCTGAAAAGATGGAGGGATGCCTGGCAGCTACTGTCCTTCAAACTGAATGAGAGCGCCTGGGGCTTGAGTGTCCATTTCCTTCTGCTAAAAATAGAAGTGCCACCTCTGAAGCAACAAAAGGCAGAGAGTGGCTGCTCCAGTTCACACCAGGCTGCTTTCAGTTAGGTAAAGGGGTAGACACGGGAGGGAGGAAAGGAGATTTCTTACACAGATTCCATTTCCAAGTCATCCTCTTCCTGAGAAAGTTGTAGGTAGGGGTTATCTGAAGCTGGACGGAATTTATACCCCGTTAGAACAAAGAACACCAGCGTGGCCGTTTCATCCAGGAGCTGCAAATTGAAAAACCGTCCCCAAATAAAGGGATTAGCAACACTGTTCTTCAGACAGCAGCGGAACTAAACAAACAGACACATCCCCCCGCCAACCCACCACTGGCTGCTCCCTCACTCAAATGCCAGAGCTGACTGCTAGAGAGCATTTTCTTCAGCAGATTTGCTGAAGCCTCAGCCAGGAGCATTCTGCCCAAAGACGACATTTAAGACTCCCTGCTTTAAGCAGTCTTCCCCGGTAGCTTTCAAGAGCTCATTAAATACCCACATTTCCCATGGCCCTAAAGCACCAAGTCAGTGCTTCAAGAAAAGTCTCTACATCGTTTGGTGGATTCCCCTCGTAGTTAAACTTGTTCTAGTGTACTGCAAAGATGCTAATAACGGGCCAAGAAGAGGGGAGGCCCGGATTCTGTTATTCAAAGCCCTGTCTCTGAAGGAAAAGACCCCTCTCATCTAAGTTTGATTATACAGGGCACATCTTTCTCTTTCCGCCTGAGGCTTTTCTTTTCACAGACTTTTAAAATTGAAAACTAAAATCAATAATGCAACTATTTCTAGATTTCTCACGTAATCCAGCAGCTTTCCTAGACAGATAATCTTAATTGTGGACGAGAAGAGACAGAGGGTCTGAGCGGCCACGGCTGGATACGTTTATAACAACCTTCAGTTAAACCCCAGGACTTGATCCTCAGACAGGAACTCTCTGGCACGGTGCCCTTAGAGCCGCATACCTGGTAGAGCCACTTCCACTGGAACGGAACGGCAAGTTTGAGGAGAAATGCGATGATCCTGGTGAAGTATATGTAACACACGATCTATGTGAAGAGGAAAGAAATGAGGAATAAAATCAACACAGACATTATGGCACCACTTTCTTCCAATAGTTTGTTTCGACAAATTATCTACAAAAGAGCAAAGAGAATATCTGGAGACAACTGTTCGACACTCGTAGGCGAATTAATAAGCCTGGCGGAGAGACGGCTACTCTGCTAGTCAGAACTGAAAGCTCTCCTCTTTGTCTCTGTGATGATACACACTCCGGGGCGGCTGCCCCTAACTCCTGAGTAACCCCTCCCTCGCCCTATCCACACACATAACCCATTGATCCCAACCCCCTAAGGGTAATATTTTTAATTGTCAGACTCTGAGGAATGTTTTCCAGTAGTAACAGCAAAATAAAGCCACACAGAGAAAATACTGACTTTGAGTCTCTCCAGAGATGCTGTAAATGTTCGAGGTCCACACTCAGTGGAACAATACTAAGTACTCTAGGAAGGGAGGATGTGGCAAGGATTCACATGACAGCTACTCTAGTGTGCACTGCTTGCTGGGACCATGCCCAGGGTGGCGAGGCTTGCGGGAAAAGAACTGTCCAGCATGATAGTCAATGCCAAAATCACAAAGACAACTCAGAAACTTTAAGAGTCAAAAAGTGAACCCTAGAAGACCCATAACCTTACGTATTCCAAAAAATTATGATCTTAATAATTTATGGCAAGTCCTGCCTTTGGTGTATGCGTATATGGACTTTGCATGTCCATTACAGCCTTGTTTTAGGTGTGATCCCATTTTGGTAAATAAATACAGAAAGCAAGTCAAAGGAACAGCTATGTGTGGCATATGCCTAAAAAGAGTCTAGAAAAATAACCACAAACTGTCAATAGGAATCACTCAGGGAGGAAGAGGAGGGGGAGAAGATCAGGGTCATAAAGGGCTTCTCCTGTGTTTCTATAATCCCTGTAGTTAAAAATACCAAGCATTTATTATTTTTCTGAGTATTTAAAGCCAAATTTAAAACCAAAATTTAGAAAGAAATAACTCAGGTAATTTCCCATATCAAAAGACACAATTTGGAGCAAGCCCTGAGGGCCTAGTGGTGCAAGTTCGGCACGCTCTGCTTCAGCGGCCAGTTCGGTTCCCAGGCGCGGAACCACACCACTCATCTGTCAGTAGCCATGCTGTGGCGGCAGCTCACACAGAAGAACTAGAAGGACTTACAACTAGAATACACAACTATGTACTGGGGCTTTGGGGAGGAATAAAAAGAAAAAAAAAAAACCCAAAATACAATTTGGTTTTATAAAATGAAATCCACACAGCTCCACACATCTTGTGCTTTCAACAACTCTTGCAAGTTCATTTGCTCTACTCCTTGAATTGATCTTATTGCAGATTTAGGATTTTTTTACTCACCAAGACGTAATAATGTCTGAAAAGTTTCAGCTTTGCTAAGTTAATAGCAGCTAGGGAGAAGAAAGAACAAAATGAAAAGCTCATTAACTTCTTTTCTCAATTTCCAAGAAAGTTACAGGCAGGCACCCGCTGTCAAGGGGACAAGTCTACTGCGAATGAGGACAGCGTGGGGCACACCTAGTTTCTGGAAATGCCAGCGCTCGGCAGGACCTCCCCAGATTACCAGGAAGCAGCAGGGAGTAGGAAGCAGCAGGGAGTAGGAAGCAGCAGGTGTGGTGCTCTGGCACTGCATCTCCCCACTCCAGGTTCAGGAGCTTTCAACTGGCCATGCTGGGCGTATAGTGACACCACAGACAATGGGGACACGACCAATCAACACTCGAGGCCCCAAAGCCGGTGTTGACACTCCAGCTGTGCTGCTCCGGCTGACAGAGCCGAACCCTCACTAGGGCCAGTCTCAGGTGGGTCCCTGAGCCCTGTCTGGGGAGCCTCCCACTAGCTGAGCATTAATTCGACTAACCCACGGGTGCATCTTGCAAACTTCTCTTAGGTTTTACTATGTGCCTTGTAATGAGCCCTTTAATATGACCTCCCTGGTTCTGTCTTACGGTTGTGATGGCTCAAGGTCAGGCAGCCGGGACAGCTAACTTCCTGCCGCTGCCTATGGCCATGAAATATTGATGACCACAGAGGGTAGCCTGGCTCCCTCCCCGATTAGCAGTCCTTTCACTCATCATATACGTTCCAGCAGGAGCCAAATTCATTTTGTTTAACAGCATTCAATTACTGGCTCCCTTTAAGAACGGGACTGTGGGCAGCGAAGGGTCGAATTTCCTCTTCCTCCCTCCTCTGGTTTGTGCTTAGTGGGGGGCAATCAAGCCTAGGATTCCAAAAGAAATTCCCGAATCCTCAATTAATCTTCAAAGTGATTATCAACTAACAGTATCTGCAAGAATCTCCTCTGAGAAACCGAACGAACGCATGGATGAGGGGAGGGTCAGAAAGTCTTTCCAGGAAAGTTTAACTCCCCAAACTGAGAGGCTGTAACCCTCACATGTAGAGCTGCAAAGGACTCGCACACAACATGTGAAGAAGCACAATTCCAGGAGGCCGACGGGCGGAGGCTTTCTTACCCAGCACCCTCTCTAGCAGTCTGGTTTTGTCCTAAGTTAAATCTCCCTGGTTCTCTTGTAGGTTTTCACTCAGCTCATCTCAGGACAGGCGCTGGGACGCAGCAGTGACCCTGGCTGCCCAGGCCTTTGCCCGAGGGGCGGCTGCCGTCCCTCAGAGAGGCACCAGACCAGCCACATACTCACTGCTACATTGCGCAGAGTCCGGTGACGAAAGGGTGTAATGGGCACTATTCCTCCTCATCTGAGGGAGGGGAGAGGCTGCACTGAGGGAAAGATATTAGAAGTGTCGGATAAGTAAGTGACCATGGATTTAAAACTCTCCACATTTGCATGAGCCAGTATTCCTCTTGTGTCCCCTTTTGTGTGCGTGTCCTCTGCTCACACTGGCAGAGGTCAATGAAACGGCCTGCTCACACTGCATTCGGCCCTCGAAACCCCAGCCCTGGGAGCTGTGGCCCGCCCAGAGAAGCACACAGTTCTTGAATATGAACACTCAATTCTCTTCTTTGCGAATAAGTGAGAAAGAACAGCACCAACAATTAGACATTTAAACAATAAAAATGCTTTAAAAGTCTCCTCTGAATTTTCAAATAAATCCTGACAAATGAAACTCCTGCCCTTGCTTAAGCAGGAACCTTCAGCCTGACAGAGAGAAAAGTGCCACACTTTTATTCCTGGATTTCAAGACGCCAGGACAAGATACACATGGCTGCCATGGCCATGATCAAGTAAGGGCTCTCAAGCCAGATCAGGGGGACAAGGGGCGAAAGAGAGGATTCCCAAAGGAGGCGATGTCCAAGCGGAGGCGCTGTCTAAGCGGAGGCCTGCCTGGGGCTCAGGAAGGGGCAGGAGTGGAGACACCAAGTGGAGAGAATGCCCGGGAAGAGCAGGCACAGAGGCTCCGAGGTGAGGCAGCACCAGGCAGCAGCGAAGAGAAAGCAGCTCGGGGCAGCTGGACAGTGAAGAGGCAGGGGACGAGGCCGGGTGGAGAGGAGAGGTGGGAGCTGAGTCAGATGCCAAAGGCCGGAGCTGGCCTCCCTTGGCGCCGAGACCAGGGAGCCTCGGCCAGCTGAAGCAGGGCCGTGCCTTGATCACACCTACAGTTCAGAGCAAGCTCTCTGGAGACAGGATGGAGAGAACCAATAAAAGCCCAGGGGAAGTCAAAAGCCTGGAGTGTGGAGGTCCCTCTAAAAGGTGGTGAGGCCTTTCTGTCCGTGGAGAGCAGAGGACGGGGCAGCGAACAAGAGGCTGAGCTTGCGTTGGTGGCTGGCTTGGGAGACAGAAGGACAACAAGCCAACGGTGCTGGGAGACCAGAGAGAATTCTTCAGTGAAGTTCATGGGGGAGAGAGCAGATGGGTCAAGGCGCTGCAGGCCTTAATGGGCCAAGACACGAGTGCGCGTGAGAGGAAGGGGGCAGGAGGCCCGCGTCACAGCCTCCAGGCTGACTGCGAGACACTCGGAAGAGGCAGCCACGAAGCCTTTATCGATGAGCCTGGACAGCCACAGACAGGCGCCCACGAAGAAACATCAGCACAGGCACTGACGCTAGGCCACCCCAGGACACGGGCTGGGACTGAGAAACAGACCTTGGGAACAACTAGGTTTGTCTCTAAGAAAAGCAGCCACAATAAGCAGAGTTCAAGGTTGATTCTGAAACCCACCAGTCACGACAGACATCGTTTCTAGGCACAAATAAGGCATCTGTTTGAGACTGCTGGTCACGGGATGAGGCACCTGGGTCCACATGGGTGTTCTAGGCACAGCCAAGGCAGTGGAGGCCAGGAGCAAGCTTCCTCATTGGAGCAAGAAGCAGGAGTGGGTGTCAGTGCAGGCCCTGCACATTTGAACACTGTGGGTTCAAATTCCAACTCTGGTGCTTACTGGCTATGTGACCTCAGATAAATCGCCTCACCTCTCTGAGCCTCAGTTTCTTCATCTGTAAAACAAGAATAACAATACCTACTGCCAGAGTTGCTGGGGGAATGTGTGAGACAGGATGTGGAAAGCAAACAGCACACAGTAAGCACTCAATGAATGCCTGATGTCACGGCATCAGGATTATATGGTATTACCAAATACCAAATGCGGCATATAGTGCTACAGCGGCTGCCACAGCTGGCAGGACTCCAGACTCTAGTAAGTAAAACTGGAGCAAGTGGCGACCTGGGGACTGCCAGAGAGCTCTGGGCTCTCCTGGAAGCACTGCTGCCATATGCACACAATGAGTCAGCCTGCCGAGCAGGGGATGGACCAGCTCTGGAGGGTGGAACCTCACTGGCACCATGCAAGGAGCAGTGAGGCAGTGGGCCGCAGCCTGGAGTGCCAAGCCTCCCTTTGCTTTGATTCCAAAACAGCCTTCAGTGGAGTTAAGAACGCGGATCGCTTGCTGCTCACTGGACCATGGCAGGGCGGGCTCCCACGGGAGTAAGGGCTCACCAAGTCTGAGCTAGCTATTTCTAACCCCACCATGAGGAAGAGCAAATATGGTAAAAGAATGAGCACGGTGTGAGGGAAAACGCCTCGGACAGGAGCCAGGAGACCTGCATTCCAGGCCCTGTACCATCATAGCTCAGGGTGCCTGAGCCTGGCCTGCCACTGCCTCCTTGGGGCATCAGTCTCCCATTTGGAGAATTTCCTTCCGGCAATGGTCCTTAACCGGGGTGGGCAGCAGAATCACCCGGAGAGCTTTCTTTAGCACAGATGCCCAAGCTGCTCCCTACTCGTAGGGAATCGGGGCTGGCTATAAGGATTTTGAAAAACTTCCTAGGGAGTGGGGGAGGGGTGGGGTGGGGAGCAAGGAGAGAGCACGGACACCTGTGTCAGGAGCGCCTACGAGGCTGACTTCCTGCTGTGGGATTCCTCTTCCTCCCACTCTCAGGAAAACGGACATGACTGGATTTTGGCAAGTACTTTTTACTGCCGAGAACGGAAAAAGTGCCCACTGAGGTAGGAAGTACCCACTGAGGCAGGACGCATCCAGCCTTTCAAATTCTTAACAAGTCAGCGCTCTCTCGGACCCAGCAGCAAAAGAGCAAATGCACCCCAACTCCAGGAGCTCCCTGCCTAGACTTTCACTTTTCCTCTTTAAGCGCCAGAGTACCAAGCAGGCTGGCAGGAAGATGGATGGGCCCCTTCCTCCTCAGAGGTCTTCCCTGGATGGTCTTGGAAGCACGACAACAATAAAAACAACAGTGCTGGTCACCATCTACTGTGTGATAGTGCGCTGGGCCCCAGGCCGGGCCCCTCTCCTATTTCACCTCGTGTAGTCCGCACAGGAGCCTCTGTGAGGAAAGGGGGCTGTTACCACTGCCTCGCAGATGAAGGACACAGGCCTGGAGAAGTGAGTAAATTACCAAGGTCGCACAGCTTGTAAGCGGAGAAGCCAGTGTTCAAACCAAGCCCCTCCCTCCGAGGACCAAGCTCTCAGTGCCCAGGCTTAACGCTGAGAGAAAGGCGCTTCACGGCCTCCTAATCCACCAGTGGCTCAGGGCAATGCGATGGTGGCTCAAAATGCTGGGCAATGCCAGGAGCTGCCAGCACTCTGTCTTGAGGAGTTAGCTCTGGACAATCCACGGGACGGACAGAGGCAAGGGCCCACGACAGCCACTTAGAGGATGAAAAATTTCCACAACAACCCTTCCCTGGGTGTAAGGAAAGCCTTGAGGCTTAAAATCACCCCTACCTACCCATCATCCTTTTCTCCTGCTTCCTCCTGAGCTTCACAGGGAATTTTGAGTCAAACTAAAAATTAAAGAAATAAGGATGACAGCAAAGCCTAGATCACATTGGAGTCGCTCTGACTCACTCTCAACCGTAGCATTTCCACAATCTGCTTCAGCTCCGGGCTCAAGCTCACAGTGCACGGGGCACAGGGCAGCTTCCCCCATTCGAAGCCAGGCCACATGCTGACCTGGGAGCACACTGGTCTGGACGTGTCCATTCTGGAGTGCTGAGCCCACAGGCCTCCACTAGTAAGAGATCCCACTCACCCGTCCCACAGCGAAGGCATCAGGAGCGAGGATGGGAAAGACTGTGACGGACAGGAGGAACTAAGAAAACCGAACGCTTTCACCTGCAAACTGAAAAGTGGCTCAAAATACATTTCCAATATGCATTTAAAACAATGACCCCGGAGTGGTCAGAAGCCACTGAAATGAACAGTGGAGGGCTGTGCATCTTACTGTAAGCAAAATTTTATCATAAATAACCAACAAAAAGCATCAAAGAAAGGAGGAAAAATGGCCCAAGAGACCGGCTGACAACCACACCACTGCAGGAAAGAGTGACTCCAGAACAGATTTCTGCCCTCCAGTCTAGTGAGCGTGTGCCTTTTTCATCCCTTCTGCTCTAGAATCACACCCAAGGCCCTGCTGGAGGAGGGGGTCCTAGGGCCCATGCTGATCTCAGATTCTGCTTGTGACAGTCCCTCCCGCCTTGGCCAGCCCGCAGCGCGCAGCCGCAATGCTGGCAGCCGTGTCAGCCAGACATCACAGCTGAGCTGGGCAGCACATCGCTCCCCTGGCTGTCCACAGCACAGACTCACAGTTGGCAATGAGCTGGGCAAGGAAGACGGTGAGATGTCTCATGGCTTGATGACACAGCCTGGTCAACAGCAGACAACACCTTCTCAATAGGAGAACCTGACCGCCCTGAATACTGCAGTAATCTGAGAAAAGCTGCTTTCAACTGTGTCTTAAGAATCGCAGAAAACAAATGCATGCTAACACCACTAGGCAGGAGAACCACACCCAGAACTGCGGAGGGCACGCCAACACAGACGGCTAACCAGGCCCACTGGGGGCTGAGTGCCCCACGGTAACTAGGGTCCTGATATCTGAAAGGCCTAAGAAGAAACTGGCACTGCGATGAAGCTGCGTCTCAGCCCGGGGATACGAGAGGCCTCTGCTGCTGGTTGTAGATTCTATTAACTCAGGATCGTATCGCTGGTTAACTGATTATTTCAAAATGTTGATCAGAAGCTGGGATTAGGTTGATGACATTAAAGGAATTCTGGGTGACCTGCTGAGGGAAAGTAATGAAAAGAGGTTTTTGGTGATTAAAATAAATTAAAAATCATTGTATTAAGCCAGTGTAATAAAATATCCTTTTTCTCTCTCATTCTCTCTTCCTCAGAGTCTATTTAGTTGTGGTTTTACCCTTTCTAGGGTCACAGACTCCTGGAGAGACCAGGAGACAGCCTCCTTCGAGAATGTGCTGAGAGCCACAAACCCTGTGGCCAGGCAAATGCGAGCATGCA